GCCTCACTGGTAACATTCACAGGTCAGGCCCACTGACAGATGGGACAAATGGGAGAGGACAAACTGACATATTTACACATATGATCTGGACAGATACATCAAGCAGAGAGAGGCAGACAGGCCACAGTCAGACATTCATAAACATGTTGGCACAGAAACACCCTGACAGAACCTGTTGGCTAGCATGCATACACACACACCAGCCACAGAGTTCACACATACACATACACACACACATACATACACACACCAGACAGGCCACAGTGAGACAGTCATAAACACAATGGCACAGAGACACCCTGACAAAAACACACACACACACAGACCTCACACACACAAACACACATACACACCAGACAGGAATAAGTTAGCCATATGATCTCCAAACAGCACATGCATATAGGCCAGCCACACGCAATTGATACCACAGACCAGCGGTTGCCAACCAGTGGTCCACTGGTGGTCCGTGAGGTCCGAAAGGTTGGCGACCGCTGCCATAGACCATACACACATACCCACCATCCTCCCTACCCCCAAAGCAGACAGGCCCTACACAGCCCTGCAGGGTTGGGCCAACACACAGACACAGGCACTGGGGAGACAGGCCTCACACACCCTGACAAGCCAGTCATATGCAGCCCCACAGCCCCACAGCCAACCAGCCAGGCACACATGCTCTTGGACCATCTGAGTTACTATGGAGCTCTGGGCTTCCCAGTCTGTCTCTGTCCCCCCTCCCCCCACAGATATCCCTGAACTTCCTCTCTCCAAACATTACCCCCAACTTCCCTCCCTCCTTGCTATTTGTCACTTCCTGGGAGGCCTGGCTCAGCTGCCTCAGTCCCTGGTGGGCTGTGGGCCTTTTTTCTTAGCACATCCCCTGTAAAGGGGGCACCCAGAATCTCAGCAAGGCCCAGGCCCCTCAAGACCTCACCGGGAGTGTGTGTGGGGGGAGACAGACTTAGTTTTATGGGAAACTCCCCTCATGCACAGCTGAGTCAGCCTGAGGAGACAGCCTCTCTCCTTCCTGCTTCCAAGAAAACCCAGCAGCTTCCTCTCCAGCAGAGGGGATGAGGGACCCCCAAACCACAGAGGTGGGGGAGGGAGGTAGCTGGCAGGGCAGGGGTTCCTGAGGGAGGACTTCGTGATTCTCAGCCTCTTCCTGCACGGCTGCCTGTCCACACCCAGGGCAGGGACTCTGGAGGTTGGGGTGCTGTGACTTGTGGGTTCTCGCCCTGGTTTGCCCAGGGCTGACTCACTTGCAGCCCCCAGCCCAGGTTCCTGGTGAGGGCCCCACTGGTCAGTGGGGTCAAGGGAGGAGGGGGTCACCAGACTATTTATAAGAAGGAGACCCTCATGTCAAAGCCGAAAGCCCCAGAGGGACTCGTGGGTGGGGTACGTGAACTTCCCCCTTATCCTGTCCCCACCCGAGGCCCTGGGCCCCTGGGTGTGGGGGAAACTTGGGCACAGAGTCCTCCTCCAGATGCTGGTCTGGAGCCCAAGGGATGGGCAGTCCCCTGCTGCATCTGGGCACCCAGGCCAGGAGGGGGAGGGGGCTATCCTCCTCCTGGGGGCCTTGGCGCCAGTGGGGCGGCTTGAGGGGGTGGTGCCCAGGCCACAAGGGTGAGACTGGCAGGGGCCTGGAACCGGCTGTACCAGCTGGGCTGGGCCCCCGCCCTCCCTGGCTGGCCCATTCCCCACCCCCTGCTCAAACACCCTTGCAGAGTGCATGGAGCCGCTCAACCTCACTCCAAATGCTGGCCTGTCTCCCCTCCCACCAGCATCCCTCCACCACGTGCCCAACTCCATTTCTCTCCGGATTAAAGAAGACCCTAAGTGAAAGGGCCTGAAAAGCTTGGCATACAGTTGGTCTGATTATCCACAGTAGAGTGGCTAATGCTCTGGAGCCAGACAGCTCAGGTTATATCTCGTCGCCAGCACTTATAGCTGTGGGATAGCAAGCAAGTTCTTTTCCTTCCCGTACCTCAGTCTTCTCATCTGTTAAATGGGGATACATAGCATGCATTTTGCTAGGTGGCTGGAAGCAGACAATGAGTTACTCTACTTAAACCACTTAGAAGAGTGTCTGGCCCATGGTAAGAGCCATATAAGTGTTAGCTATTAAAATGATAATTATTATTTCTCTGTCTGCCTATTTTAAGTGTCATTGCTGTCTGTCTGCATGACGCTAACCCTGCCCCCAGTTTGTCTCTCTGACCATCTCTCCCTACCCTGACCCTCACCCCCATTCACCCATTTTTCTTTGCTGTGCCTTTCCTTTCATCTCGACCCCATCTGGGCCAGTATCATGGCTCTCCAAGACTCCCCTAGCCTGGCCAGCCTCAGCACTGGCCAGGGATGACTCACTGTGGCCTCCTGGCCCCTGGGACCTGCAGGTTGGCTTCCCGAGATATACCCTCTGGCCAGACCTGCCCAGCCCCCTAACCCTGCCCACTGCGCCGCCCCCACAGGGCCCCGGCCAGATGTCAGCTGCAGTTATTAGCATGGGCGGGAGACACAGGCCTTGGCAGCATGCCTGCCAGACTCAGCGGCCACTGGAATCTCCCTTGAGCCTGGGGCGGGGGAGGGGAGCAGTTCAAGCTAGGGAAGGAGGGTGGGGGCACCCAGGGGTCACAAGTACCTCCAAAGACCAAAGACAGGGATGCCCCAGCTTCTAGGGGACCTTCCTCTCCACAGCCACTGCTCTGTTGGACTTCCCCTTGCCCCCACATAGCTCAGTTTCTCTTTAACCTCTTTCATTTTCCTTCTCTCCTCCACCCTTGGTGAGTTCTGTACCTGCCCTACAAAGGCTGGCTAGCCCCAGCCCTCAGCATCTCTCTACTCTAAAGAAACTGCCATCATCCAAGAAGATAGAGGCCTCTCCCAGAGAGACTCAGCGTCCCACCTCTTGCTCCAGTGGCTCACGTCTTAACTGTTTTGAAGTCCCACTTTAAGTCTGACTAGAAGCCTCACCATCTAAACCTTCACCCTGTCCTTACTGGGGAAGGGCTTCTGGGTTCACCAAGATTCTTCCCTTGGGTTTTCAGGTCCTTTCAGATGAAGGAGGTACCCTGGGGAGAGAGGGACTCCACAAGGTATTCTGGATAGTTGACCAAACCCCCAGACTTAAACAGGAGTAGGAGTCCTTGCCCACATGAGTGTGGGAGAGGGCACCCCAGACCCTGGGGGTGCTTGTGGGGAGGGGCCCCAGATCTCCGGGCAGAAAGGATGGGTACCCCGCCCAAGGGAGGGGTCAGCCTCGCCAGCCCGCCCAGGCGCCAGGGACGCCTGGAGGCATTGCCCGCCCCCTCCGCGCCCCGTCGGGCTAGGGGCGAAGTCCGATCCAGGCCCGCGGGCAGGCGGGGACCTGCCAGGCTAGGTCGGGCCGGGCCTGGCAACACACAGCCCCATAGTGACTAGGTGGGGCCAGGCCAGGCGGCCGTGGCTGGGGCCCGGGGGTGGAGGCTGGGGCTGGTCGGGACTAGCCGTCGGGGGCCCGGGCGCGCCCTGGGACCTGGCAGATGCCCGGGCTCCCGGCTCCAAGCTTGGGGCCCAGGGACAGCGCTGGCCCCACCCCTTCCTGTGCCCTTATATGGGCGTCGAGGGGGAGACTCCGGGGACCGCACCGCCCCCCAGAGGAGCGCGGACTCCAGCGTGTTGCCACGGCGACCAGGACCCGCTCCCCTCTGCTGGGCTAATGGAATCGTTCCCAAACTGCCTGCCTCCAAGATCGCCCGTGGGCACCGCGGGCTGAACCATTGCTGGCGGGGGCCGGTAACGGGAGGCCTCTGAGGCTGGGCATGTTGGGCGCACCCCGAACTCCGCGGGGTCCCGCGCCCAGGTTCCTCTTCCGAGGCGCAGAGCCGGGCCCGACCCAGGGCGGGGTGCAAGGTCCCGTAGGAACCGAGTGACGGAGGCTGGGCCGGGCTCCTTCCCCCAGGGCTGTTGCCACACTTCCTGCCGCGGAGCTCTTCCCCGGCCTGTTTCTAAGGAAGGAGTGGGGTAGGGCGACCGCGCCCCGGCCTCCGGGCTGGGTCCAGGCACAAGGAGCTGACGCGGGGTCGGTCCAGCCCAAGGTTCCTGGGGATGGACTTCGGGATGGGGACAGGGCACGCAGGCGCCCGGAGGTCACCCACACGACGGGCGTCAATCAGGGAAGACCCAGTGGTCCGACTCCTCGGGGTCCTCAACGGCCCTTCCTTCCCTCCTGTCTCAGTGGGACCTCTGTCATTGTCATCTCAGCTCTGAAGGTGGCCCGACCCTCCTCATGCTCCTTCATCAGGGCATCGCCAATGACCCCAGGGACCCTGACCTGTGACCGTGTCTCCCTGTCCCCCACATGTCCCCTCAGTGGACCCCAGGACCCTCATTCACTGCCTGCCTATCTAGAGCCTCCTTCCCAGTTACGGGAGGCCTCAGCCTCTCCCATGGACTCCATCTCCCCCTCCCCACACTCATCCCTTTTCCTGGGTCCAGCGCCTCCCGTGAAAATGCCAGTCCCTCAGTCCCTCTGTCCTCAGGACCCCCCTTAATTCCTGAGCCAGGCGTCTCCTCTCCTTACCCCTCTCCCATTTTCCCTGCTTAACCCTTCCTTCTCTCTTCTATGGGGTCTCCCAGAGTATTCACAGCCCTCCACCCCCTCTCGGATACTACCGGCCCCTCAGACCTTCTGTGCACAACTGGGGGACCCCCCCCACACACACACACACTTGCTCTGTATCAGTTCCTCGTGTCCCTCACCTCGTACTCCAGGGGTATCATCGCCCTCCCTGGAGCCCCTTCCTCGGGCGCCCAGGGGTCCCCCTGAACCCCTCCCCCTGCAGCCTCGCCAAACCACCCAGCCCGTGGCCGCTGTTTACAAGGACACGCGCTTCCTGACAGTGACGCGAGCCGCCTCCTCCCCTTCCCCACGCTCCCGGAGGGGGGCGCGGGCCCGGCTCGCGCGGCGGCCAATCAGCGCGCGCTTCCGCAGCTGACAGTCGCCGTATAAAGGCGGGTGGCTCGGGCGGAGCGGCCTGGACCTTGAGCGCGGCAGGCTAGCGTCGGAGCCGGCGGACAGGGGGAAGCCGGGGGAAGCGACACCGAGAAGGCGAGCGCACCGGAGAGGGGCCGAGGGGCTCGCGAAGCCGCACCGAGCTCCCGCGCACGGCAGCCGGCGGGCCTCTCCCGATCGGCGCCAGCCCCGGAACGTGCTTCCCGGCGCCCAGTGCTTCCAGCCACCGCCGAAGACAGCGCACCGCTCGCTCGCAGCAGCGAGGCCCGGGGCGGCCCCGCAGGGACCTCCCCAAACCGCCCGGGCCGCCCGGATGTGCACTAAAATGGAACAGCCCTTCTACCACGACGACTCATACGCAGCGGCGGGATACGGCCGGGCCCCGGGCGGCCTCTCTCTACACGACTACAAACTCCTGAAGCCCAGCCTGGCGTTCAACCTGACCGACCCTTACCGAGGTCTGAAAGCACCCGGGGTGCGGGGCCCGGGCCCGGAGGG